ACCGATTTTCTCGAATTCGGTATATCGCTCTTCAGGTCCACGCAAAAGCCTGCTCGCATAATATATTGGACTTTGCTTTCTTTTTTCCTCTCGAATGAGCACCGAGCTCACCGAATATGCGCCCACGGATAAATACACATACAACTTTTCCACTGCATTCGGTTTGGTTAATAGCGGTAATTGAGCAAGAAGCGTCTTTAGTTGGGCAAAAGAGACCTCCGATTCTTCGGTCCACGTGAACTTGGCACCCTTCCTCAGAATTTTGAAGAAAGGGTAACTAGTTTCCCCGAACCTTGATATAAACCTGCTTAGTGTCGTGACCCTTCTTGCCAGCATTTGAACTTCTTTTATGCTTCTCGGAGCCCTCATGTCTATAATGGCTTGCACCTTCTCGGGATTCACCTCCACTCCTCTTTCAGTAACCATGAACCGAAGAACTTGTATGTCCTGACTCCGAAGGCACATTTATTTGAGTTGAGCTTCATTCCATACTGTGGTAAGGTGTGAAAAGTTTCATGGAGATCGTTTAGATGTGTGTTCGCTTCCTTGCTTTTTACTAGCATGCCATCCACATATATCTCTATGTTTCTTCCTAACTGTGCTCGGAACATCCGGTCCACCAATCGCTGATATATTGCGCCCGCATTCTTCAAGCCAAAGGGCATCACTGTGTAGCTTACTTTGTCGACGTGATGAAGCTTACTTTGGCGTGATCCTCTCGATCTAGGGGTATCTGATGGTAGCCTTGGGATGCATCCATCATACTCAACATCTCGCAACCTGCCGTTGAATCTACGAGCTGGTCAATTCGAGGAAGAGGGTAATAATCTTTCGGACATGCTTTGTTCATATCTCTAAAGTCGATATACATCCTCCATTTACCGACCCCTTTTTACTAGGACAACATTGGACAACCAAGTAGGAAACCTTATCTCGCGTATTTGACCCGCACTCAGCAACTTTTGCACTTCCTCATGTATTATTCTATCTTTTTGAGCTCCAAAATGCCTTATTTTTTGTTTTACTGGCTTGGTCCCGGGCTTGACATTCAACTTGTGAGTAGCCAAGCGACTGTCTATTCCGACCAAGTCATTTGGCGAGAAGGCGAACACATCCTGGTTGTGCCGTAAGAATTCTACCAACTGCTTTGCCATCGCGGCATCCATGTCTTTCCCAATTCTGGTAGTGCGAGTAGTATCCATCTCGCACAATTGCACCGTCATTAACTCCACCATGAGCTGCACGTGACTATCATCCTTCTCAGGGTCAATTCCGGGGCGAGGCTTATCTCTTTCCATCGTGTTGGCTCGTCCACTGTGGATGTTATCTATTCTACCAGTTCATCTTAATGCGTCGTAATAGCACCTTCTCGCCGTCTCCTGATCTCCTCGCACTTCCCCGATCTGATCTCCCACTGGAAATTTTAGTTTCATATGATAGGTTGATACTACTGCTCGGAATAAGTTCATTGAAGGCCGACCAAGTATCATGTTGTAAGTAGGAAGACGTCCAATACTAGGAAGTTTATTGACCTGGTAGCCCGCGCGGGCTCCATCCCCAGCGAGATGGGGAGGCAAACTTCTCCCACAGCTTGGACCGTCTCGCCCGAGAATCCCATCAAGCTGGTCTCTACATACTTTAGTTCAAAATTCATATTCATCTGCTTGAAACAGCTGTAGTAAATGACATCCGCCGAAGGGGTGGGTCTCAGGATCCTGAGACCACCCATGAGCATGCCCTTGCGGCTCGGTCGCGGCGAGAGACGCGTTCAGTGCCTCTCGCTCTAAAGGAGGATCTTCCTCTGACCTATCAGTGTACCTCAGGCGCCTCTTCGCAGGCGGTAGCCCCCCTTCTTCTCTCCTTTCACTCGGTGATCCACCTTGAGCTACTGCCGTCAGGAGGGCTTGGAGTGACTCCATGGTGAGAGTGACCGTAGGGCCAGCTGTTGAAGCATCTGGGATGTGTAAAACATCTCCTCGCTGGACGGAGGTGCCTCCTTCTAGATAAGCTCCCTGTGTATCAGCATGGGGTGTTGAAGAACTTGACCCCAGTTCGGTTAGAACCGGAACCGGAACCGGAACCGAACCGTCAAC